GGGGCAACAGGGGTGACGAACGTCGAGAAAAATGAGGTGTTGACTATGAAATTAAGTTAAGAACCTTTATAATCGAACAAAGCCTGCAGTCGAAGTACACTGTCGAGTGTTTCGGATATTACAGAAGTAACATGGCGAGTCGACCGAACAACGGGACCATCAGGCACAAACTCGACATTTAATTAAAAAGTTTAATTAAAGCCCGTTCAATCGGATCCCTGAGAAGGTTCCGTTGTTCCATTAAATGGATATAATGCTGACGATTTTCTACGGCCAATTGCCATTTATTTGGAAGTGCAAACTTCAAAGTGTAAACACTTTTCAAGCGGATACCGTCAGATATACAATTACACAGAGGAAGTTTTCCCTCGTAAGGACGTGGCTACATGTGAATGTACCTTGTTTACGCTGCATTTGGTAGAGTAAGGCATAAAACAAATTTCATTCTGGCCCCGTAAATCTTGCTTGGCGGTCGAATGGAACGTAAACGACGACTACTCAAAAATCTTCTGAGCCCCACTCGAAGCAGAGGTAGGGGGGGGGGTGCAAAGAAAACGATTTTATAAAATCCGTTTCGGTAGATTCTGCAGCTTCGTGGGTCGGGTGTTTAACGAAAAGTCGTAATTAGGGACGCTTCGTGAAGTTTCAACTTCGCAGACGGAAGAACGCGTTACCGTTAAACGTCATTAATATTAAAGCTGCTTTTAGATCGCAGGAACCTCTGCGTAACGTTTTACCCCCGAGTCGCCGTAATTCTCCGCTCGTGCTTTTGCGCGAGTACCTTTTCACGATGGGGCGGGCTCAGCGCTTCCTTTATACGCTTGTAAGTTAGCTGCTCCGCAACAGAGGTGTTTTCGAGCCCTCCAGACTTCGCGGAACACTGGCCCCAGTGAATATGCTTTTTATGAACAGACCAGCTCTTAAAATGTAATATCCCGCGACTTCATTATTTCGTATCGCTTTTCTTTGCTCGAGTGTCCTTTACGGTCGAAGACAGGCTGAGAAGTTCACATTACAGAAGATCGCCTTTCGCTGTTAGGGAAATTAAATGGCCTCTGCGTGACGCCAACAATTGTATAGAAACTTCGAATGAAGGTTTAAAGCAGGAGTTCTCAACCTGAGGCTATATGACCACCAAGGGACCTCATGATATTCCAAGAGGGTCACAGGTGAAAATCACGTATAAGAGGCGTTTTCGCATTTTTTTTCCAAGAAACAAGCTACTGTCGGACAAAGGTGGAGAAACGCTGATCTAAAGGTGGTACTTTACGCTCTAGCCAATTATAATCAATTAATCAAATTCTCGAAATTCTTCGAAGACAAAACTTTAACCGGCCAAAAGCTTTTGGTACCTAAATCGTTTCAGACTCCCGTGAAGACACTACCAAATTATTCGAACGGATTAAAAGACGACAATACATGCTCGAAAACACGAAGATTGATTCGTAATTTAACGCGATTCAGCTTCGACAAAAGGATTCACGAGCGAAAAACGAAGGAATCTCGTACAAAAGGTAATCCCTGGCTGGAAATTCCTCGCCCGGTAGCTTAATCTTCCAAGGAGTTCGACCAAGAGCAGGCCCCCCCAAGCTATTCGAAGAGTTCCGGGCATAAAGTGCTTATCTGCTCAACGACGAGGGGGCCAAGTGACTTTCATCGCGGTCGCTTTATGCCCGGATGACAAAATAAATCGGCGTGTATCATCGTCTTCTCGCCGACGAAACGATGGTTCTCGCCGCGAGGCAACCTCGCGGAACAGATTACCACGGCGAATAAATTATGACTACGGAATTTATGGGGGGTTTCTTCGATTATCCGGCCGCGGAGCCAGCGAGACAGAGGCTAACGAGTAATGAATTCTCAGGGAACACGAGATAATGGGATTTTGGTGGTCCATTATCGCCTCACATTCTGAGCACTGTCTGTGGATTATTATATTCGAATTACAACCGGTACTTGCTCATTTTTCTCTCGTAACGACATATTTTTCCATACAGAGGGGAAGTACCTAACGAAGATGTAGTCAGTATTAATTTTAGAAATAATGGAAATCGCAGGATCGGAGAAAAATGTAGAGAAATCGACAGACAAACTGGAACAATTCGTTTTTCTGATTTCATTTACGATGGGACAAGTAGCTTACCTGTATCAAAGTGGACAGAAGTCTAAAAGTAATCATCGAACTTTTTCTATTTTTTTTATTAATTTATAAACCTACTATCCAAGGTAAAATATAGTCAAACAGTTGAAACGAGACTTAATATGTAACCATTCATCACTCGATGAATAGGTGAGTAAAAAATAAACTATTCTGAAGTATTATATTATTCAAGTATATTTATTATATAAACGTTAAAAATTATCAAAACAATACAAAATAATATATAGTATATTATATATCTTATCATAATTTATTTTTATACATTGTATCTTGTTTTAATAATGGTAATATATTTTACTTAAAAAAACGAAAGGTTCGATGTAAACTAGTTTTATACATTTGTCCAGCTAGGTACGCTATTTATCCCACTGTGTGACGCCCTTATCTCCGTTTTCGTAGACAGTACGTTTCATGGATATCGACTCGCCTCGCAGTGCATTTAAACGTTTATCTCTTTGTATCGCTGAATCGTGTAAAAGGGACATAGACTGTTCCGACTGTGTTTAAACGAATGTCCCAGGAATCCCTGAAAGTGAGGGAAAAATTGTCGTTTCCACGGCGGGCTGGCGATCAAAAGCGGGTTAAACGAACTGCTCGCAGAATCGAGAGGACTAATTCGCGATATAATCAAGTAATCGTCCGTAGAATCGAGTGAAAAAAAAGAGTGGCGCGACCTTTCGAATTGCACACACCTTGAAGCAATCTTCGTTTCCAATTTGCCGGGGCTTCGTTTATTTTTTTAATCTCCACTCCCATTAATGTCTTCTTTGAAGGATCGACGACGACTACGAGAACAGAGCGGGAAAATGGCAGAGAAAAATAGAAATGAAGAAGATAAAGATAAATGAAGTACCAGCGAGAGGGACGGAATAATGGTCACGATAAGAAGGAAATGGACTGGGGATCGAGAATAAATACGAATACTCGGCGAGGGGATCGCAATCAGCAATAATAAAAATGTATCATTCGCTTCTGGATGAAGAAGATGGCGGAGTGGAGGAATGTAGATTGCTGCTGGTATGTTACGGAGATCTATTGCGGTAAAGAATGGAGCACATCAAATGAAAAAATAGGAAATAATAGCCACTGGATAACTCGAGGAGACACCTTTATGTCGGGATGACGATCAAAACAGCTCCAAATAAACCCAATTATCTCCAGATACTGCACCCAAAAGTACCATAGATATAGTCGGAATATTTTTCCAATGAAATTAAATTCCGATGGGGATTCCTAAAGGGAAATTCTCGAAACTGTATTCGGAAAGATCCGTGTGTGAAAACAGAATAGAGTGTAAGTTTATTGAGTAAACTTCAATTCGCTTTCGGAAAAGCAACCGGTTGAACTTCTCACGAACCGAATCGTCGGATCTCCGGTCCCTTAGCTCTTGCACTCTGTTCTGTCTACATTTCACTTTCAGTTCATTAGAAGCCAGCCATCATTCTTTCAACGTGAACCCTTCAATCGTCGACTTTAGATTTCACAGTACGGTCGCTTAGACCCTGTGTTCTCTCTACCACGAATGAATACGATATGAAGCTCGGCGGTTTGATGAGAATTTCATGGTCACGCGGGCAAGATTCAATTCTGCACCGAGCCGTAATCGCTTTGTCCAACATGTGTCTCCGCCTTCCGAAACACTCGCGGAACCCGTAACACACACAAGCTATCTGGAAACTGCTGTTCCCGGCGGAACGTTTCGAATCCGTGAGTTCTTGTCCCGTGTAATGTATTAACTTGCCAGCATAAGGACCCCGGTTGTCTGAGGTTTGAAAGGCGTCGCAGTTGGCCAACTCCAAAGGGTGGGGGTGACCCACCCGAATTGCGCCCCCGTCGACCGTAACTACCCTCGTGGACTGAACCGAGATAACCCCGGAGACACTAGTCGGTCATTCTACACGTACGGCTGCGCTTATGCCAGACCCTTCCGTGGACTATAAGGAACAGGTTTACAAGCGACATCATCCTGGGAACGGTTCTGTTCCGCGTTAATGCGATATTAACATTGTTCCTTGGATTACTGGCGTTAGCTTTCGAGTCCCGTTTCACTGGTGACACATTTACTGTCTGACTTGTAATCGGCGACTGGAGAGACGTCTAAATCGAGACTTTTTAATATAAATTAACCGTGTGTTCATGGGAACCTTGCACAGAATTTTGACCGGGAACTGAAGAAACCTCAGGACCTGATGATCACGTGCATTCTTTTTGGCCGTCTTTTCTTATTCTTTAAAAACGACGACACCCCAAGATGACCCCTTAAGTGAAGTGGGAAACCATGTTCATTGTGATTAGTTCTGAGACTTTCAACTATTGTTGAGTGACTTGAAACATACTGGTAAGTTTGTTCTAAGGTCACGTGATTTTTCTCCTCGAATTGATCAGTGACTGTCCTACTACATCTTACTATCCAGGTAAATGAATACGATTTTATTCTTGGTACGATCATAAAAATCACGACTCGCCCGTTATCGGCAATAATCGACGATTCTTCTGTCCGTGGTACAATTTCGAACAGCCATAAAGGAAATTTACGGCGTTAAACTACAACCGTGGTCATGCGTTCAGCTTAGCGAGGCGTTAATGCTGCATTAACGTCATTCTCCAGTCGTTCTACACGCGTACGATCTTAATGGGGCGCAGGGCCGCCGTCTCGCCGATTTCTCTCGCCTAATGATTCACTGAACGATCTCTGGGGTGATTACGTTAGCAGATAGCCAAGCAGAAATCGTCTTGCATATTTACGACTAGATAAATATTGCAAAAGTGACTTTATACTGCAAGCAATACGAGTATCCAGCGAGAAGTAATAAGACTTTCTTTTTTTTTTTGCTTGCAGCGTGTCAACAGGTCAAATATGGCGTACAGGCGGTGTTCGGCCCGTCGGACCCAATCCTGGGCCAGCACATTCACAGCATTTGCGACGCACTGGACATTCCACACTTGGAAGCCAGGCTGGACCTGGACACGGAGGCGAAAGAGTTCAGCATCAACCTGTATCCCGCACAAAGTTTGCTCAACGCCGCTTATCAGGACATCATGGAGTTTCTCAATTGGACCAAGGTCGCTATTATCTACGAGGATGACTATGGTAAGCGGTTCTTGCAATCCATTTTATGCATCCTGTGCAAGGATCATTCCACGCGAAATCAGACACTTTTTGGAGTAACATTTCGGATTTTGTTAAATCTTGGATGTCTTTAGTGGTATACAAACGTATTTCGAAGGATTTTTGAGAATTTTTTAAATTGTTGATTTCACGGCTGTTTGAAGTATAGTTTCGACCGTTTCGCATTAAATTCTAACTGTCGAACTAATAAACTAATCGAAATGAGCTTTGTGGGTGCTTACAGTGGAGACGTAAGGCTACTTAATAAAAATCATTTCATAGTAGTGGAGAACTATTGAAAAATTTGAAAAAAGAATAACGATATGCAATAAATCATCGATGAGTGTTCGAAGACTCCTTGGCACTGAACATGAAAATATTTCATGAACTAATAGCCACTGTGCTAAACCTCGTTAAAAAGTCGTGAAGTTGCAAAACAACATTCAACGTTCGTTCCATTCCAAACGCGCTACGTCCGACATCTAATCTAAAAACTGGGAACAGAGGGAGAGAGATAGAGTGTGTGTGTCGTCTCGATAAGGGCACTTCCGCAAACTTCGTAGAAGGTGTCTTCTGTTCTGCTGAGCGTACTCGTTTACATGCTCAATCGTAAAAGTAACACTGGTCCCCATCTTCCATCGTATCCCCCGGAGAGAAAAAAGGGATTGGCGGTAGTACACGGAAGCGTTTCATAAAAAGACAAAGACGCAAGAACGCGATGCCAAGTTTTCTTGCTGATCCACTGCGATATCTTTTTGTCGGGAGAGGGGGTGCGTTAAAGGATATGCATATTCATAATCTCGTCGTCCCGAATCACGTCGAGTGGGACCGTGATACCAGAAACGGTTTAACCTCGAAATCCTTCGATCTGTGGTCTCGTGTACTCTAGTTCGTTAAAATTCGTTTATAATTCGAATCGGTCGGATCTACGAAAACGAAACCAGTCTCGAATCAAGCCGAAATATCGAAGGAACACCTAAACTAAATCGGCGTTAATTGTCGCAATAATCACGCCCCTTTGGTTATCAATTTGCGTGACAGGGTGAGAAAAGAGAGACAGAGAAAGCCTTTCCCCAATTACCGTCCCTATTAGCAACAATTACAAGCACAGCAATAATGGAATAACGTCGATTAATAACGACCAAAGACGTAGCCAGCAGAGAAACGGAGATAATGAAATTCATTCATAACGAGAAACGTCGCCTGGTTCGGCTTCCCAGCAGTAAGAAAATGTCGTCCTCCCGCGAGAGAGAGGGAATTCCGTCTAATTAATTCGCCAAATGGCGGTTTAAACCGGGAGAAGATTCCTTCCGCCGCTTACGCTGTTCCTCGTTCCCGCGTCGCCATCATTCTTTGGTCCTGATCCACGCCGATGAATAATCTAAGGAACACTGGGGAATTATGTAAGGTGCACGTGAGCGATATCAGAGAGCCGTGAATGATTTAGGCTCGCCAAGCTTTGTCTGGGGGAAATCTAATTAGCGTTTCGAAGACGTCGTGATTTTTAAACGATAATTATGCAGATAAATCATTATATCGAACGACTGTGCAGAAAGTACATTAAAAAAGAGAAAGTTGACCTGTTCGAGGCGTGTCTGACGAATGACTGGTCTAATCTACTAGCATCATAAGCTATTTCTCCTAAAGCGGAGTTCTGGACAGTGTTTTTGACACAGAATTAATTCTTGTTTGGATTGAATAATACTTATACAATACTACCATTACACCAAGGTTGGTTGAGTTGTCCTAAATCTGGCTCAAAGAAGAACTTAGGATTTCTGGTGATAGAAGGACCGACCAGCACCCGCTCGTAAATCCACAGCTACACGGAATGGAGTATCGGACGTCCAACCAGGATGCTCGAGTCTTGTTTAAAAACTGTTCGAAACGTCACGTACACCGTCGATTTTGACGGAACGTCCCCGATCGACTGATCGAGCGGTTTCAACCCCGGTATTACAGCAGGTGCAGGAGAAATCATTCGCCGTAAGCTCGGCGTTGTACGTGGGCTCGTCGGGAATATTCTTGTGACAGATTGTTGGAGCACGTGCGTCGTTGCTGCATTTCGTGCGCAATGAACGTGACTCTTCCTCCCCGTGCCTCCCGTCCCCCCTCTCGGACGAGATCGGGGACTCCGTTGTCACCGTGAGGGAAATGGCATATTCGTCGTCAGACGGCGCGAGCGTTGCCAATTCTGAATTATAAATGCCTCGGGAGTGTGACTGGTAAACTCGAGAACTTCCGAGGGGAACAGAATTATCTGTTGGTTGCGATGGAGAAAATTCCACGCCCGAACGAACCATATTATAAACCAACCGTCAAGATTCAACGAAACATCAGAATCCTATCAAGAAAGTTCCTGTGGAGGATCCTGGAACCAGTCTGATAAATTGTAATTAACCACTTCGTTGAATTCTACTTAACAATCGCTAGGAGTTCGTCCAGTCAAGGGATCAACGGTCAGGATTCGATCGAGCTCGCCACGGTTCCCGAAGAATTTCATCTCCGGTCCAAAGGACTCGATAGGATTTGCCCAGAGAACTTAACCGGCACACCAATGAAAACATCCCTCGAGCTTAACCGCCTTTACCAACGAGCTTATCTATTTGCGGAGGTGCACGAAAGTTACACGTACAAGCCGATTAGAGCACCCCTAACCCAGAGACTTCTCAGACCTCCCTTCCTGCCCACCTGGCACGACGAACTGATTTCCTCCAGAGATTTACCGGGGCTCCGGAATTTCCGTGTTTCCTCCACTTTCAATTCCAGCCGGCGGTCTAACTCACGGTTAGGCAACGCGTATCCTACCCTTCGGTCCCCCATCCCCCTGTTAAAGGGAACACGTTTCGAGCCGTGTTCAAAGCCACCGATCGACCTAGGCTTGGGCTCGCGTAACTACCCGCGATCCCACGGAACGACGAAAAGAGCGCGACGATTTTCTGACGAATCACGGCGAAGTTTAATCCGTTTTCAGCAAAGTCAGTTCCCGACTCAAGTAACGCGTGTGTGCAAGCTTAAACTTACCCCTTAGAAAGCGATCCGTGGAAGTGAAACCGTGACTGTTAAACTTCTAGGCGTACCTCACGATCCATCCCGTGGCTTTTCGTATTTCAATTTACTGGATCTATAGACTTGGTCTCTCGTAGTTTCGGATTTTCCCAGATGAGATCGTATCGATACTGAAATCTCTATCGAATCTTTGGAAGAAATGGATGGCGATGGTGGATCGTGAAGCTAAAGAGCTTTCGCAACAGTTTTATTTAAAACGTTACCAGCAGCAAACTCCGCTGGTCTCCAATCACCGGCAGGAATTTTCAACGATCCTAATAACGCTTCTAACACGGCCGAACCCTTCGTTATTTCGTGCTGCCAGCGTTATCCCTCGTTACTCGAGATCCAGCGTCTTCCATCGTGGCCCGCTGGCTAGGGCCAGAACCGTGTCTTCGCCTCGTCGAAAATTTCCGTTCCTCGCCTCGGTACTACCACGAATCACCCTCCCCCTGGTGCTCGACGCGTGTTAATTTCACGCTTCTGATCGTTTGCGCCTTATTAAGGGAACGGCAACTGCTCGCGCGAAAAGTTTCCCCAGCTTGGACGACACTGAATAAACTTGGTCCCGCGATTTACCAGAGAACTTAACGACTCCAGGGCTGTTTCACTTCACGGTGTAGATTCTTTGCGTTAAGGTACGTCCTCTGGGAGCAAGTCTTTGCGTTAACGGCCTAATTTTAACCTCGGTAAAGGCAGCCACGAGCAGAGAGTGAAATTGATGACCCGGATGGTCGTCGATTTCTCGTTCAATGAACCTGAAGCACGCCTCCATTCACGTGTTGCAAATGAGATACCGTACTATTCGTGAGGTCTTCATTTTTTTGAAGCGATGGAATAACAATTGGTCCTACTTAAAGTGGGAATGATCATTTCTATATAGTGTAGAAGGTTTGATATGGCTCCAGTCCGAAGTCATTCGGACTCAGAAAGAGAAATGCAAAAAGCCAGTCCCCATCGACGACCTCTGCATAGAAGAAGACCAAAGGAATAAGGTCCCGGGTCCATCTCATTCCTTCTCGAAATTCTGGCAACCGGATCTCCCGTTCCCTTACGCCTTGAGAATCGCCAATGAACCTGCAACGCGCTCCATCACAGGCCATTGTAGAACTTCCACGAGTCGTTCCCTCGTACCCTTAGACGATCCTTTCTTCCGGACCTTCTTATTCCCAGACCTTCGGCTCCCATTCCTCACGAAACATTTCGGACAATGGGGACACACGGTGAGAGGGCTACATCTTCGAAGGCGCAAGACTGCATTTTAAACTTTAACGGAGAGAATATCACTTATCCTTTACCTCGTTCGTCGCAGCTACATCCAGCCTTTGTTACGACACTGTTTAGCGAACCGAGAGGATACTGATTTTTTGCAAAATTACCATCGTTACAACAAGTGGTAAAGCACCTTCAGAGGTCACAGCTGCTTAGAGCGTAGGCTCAACTCGTCCCAGATCCTTAAGGGAACTTCAGACCGTCAAACATTCGATTTGTACAGATATACAGACGCATTCGTGAGGGGCGGCTTGTTCCTGACAGAGAAAAACGAAAAAATGTCTTATAAGCCACGCGAAATCTTCCCGTCAGAAGCAGACTCGCGCATCTTCCCGCATACGACGGTATTGGCAGGCGGTAAAAATTCCTCGAACATCGTCGAGAGAGTGGCAAGTAACGGTTCCCGCGTCTCTACACACCGTCCCCGATGGATGTGGCGAGATTTGCGAGCGGCCACCTCAGGAATATGTATCTGGTCTGCCACGTATGCGTTGCACGGCAGCTAAATCACTGAGATGGAGAGCTGACGCTGTCTCTCTTCTTTACGATTCGCTCGTGGGAGCTAAAAGATGGGAACTGAAGCGCGACTGGGGACCAGCTGGGAACAAGATGGCCGGATGAGAAGGAGGGGCCGACACGTAAAGTATTCGGAATCTGGAGAAAAATTCATGAGAAGGTAGGGCTGGGCACATGTTGATAAGGAGAGTGTACGGAGAGTCGTTGAAATTAATAATGAGGGGGACTGGAAGTGGAAAATAATTTAGGAGGATTTTTTCAGGATACAATATTATGTATTAGTAATCATTTGATGGAATATGTGTAATCTAGGGTAGATTAGTCATCGATTAGCCAGGTCGAACGACTCCCGCTGGGATGTATTGGATAATTGGTGACCCTGTGGAATAACATTATGTGTAACACGATCCAATGGAAAACCGTAATGCAAGTAGTAATCCAAATGGCAATGGACTTCTATATTCCAGAATCCAGAATATTCAGAACTGTTTCATCTGCCTTTGCCAACATGAAATCATGGGACGCATTTCCTACAACCATATCGGGATCCATATAGTAGTAGTTCTAAAGTAGTAGAAAAACCCTCTGGTATACAAAAAGTGGGGCTATTGTATTTTTAATTGTACTTAATTGTACTGAACAATCAAAAAAAGTATCCAAACTTCTTGACGAACCTTGGATGATTAAAATAACATTCCATAATGCCCCTAACACGACAGAATCACAGACCTAAATGTGAAGAAAAGCTTGCATTTAAAAAGGGGTAAAATCCAGGCAAGATGGGAAGAAGATTAACATTCAAAGAGGGAAAATCCAGGCAAGATGAGTAAAGAAGAAGGGCGCAAAATCCAGGCAAGATGAGAAAAAGATTGCATTTAAAAAGGCGAAATCCCGGCAAGACGGGAAGAAGATTACATTTAAAAAAGGGTGAAATCCAAGCAAGCCATGAAGTAAATAAATCCAGGGAGGAGGAAGGGGAAAATGAAGCAGATTTTGCGGATTTACAGTTGAAAGAAAAATCCTCCCCGTTGATTCCGCATTGTCGCGAAAACCATCGAGATTCAGAATACCCCGTGCACGCGATCTCCCACGTCACGTCATAATGAAAGATCGCTTTAAGCCCCCCCGTTGCTCCGGCGTAAAAGCAAGCTAGGGGAAACAGTCGTCCGACGTTATCGTAAAGGCTAACGGAATGCCCCGTGAAGCGAAGCTGTAAATGTCAGTCTGTCGCTTTATCGCAGTGTTTAAGGGTGGCTCGTCACGGCGACGTTAAATTTACTACGTCCATCTGATTCCAATCGCGACACCGTGTAAAGAATGTTCGCCTGGGCCTTAATCAGTGGGTTTTAAAGGGGGGACGCGCGTCAACGTCGTGACGCTCGTCACGATGAAATGGACAGCGCCACGGGCATCAATCTCTCTCCGTTATCTAATAACCATGATACGGCGTAATACGAAAGGGTTGAACGGCACCGTGTCACCGCCAATTTATCATCGTTATCGATCCGCTTGTTTCGATAAAATATGTACGTCGAAAGACGCGAGCAATTCAATTTCCTTGGATACCACCCTGATGGAAAGGGGGAGTTGGAAAAAAAGGGGAACGACTTCCTTCCTTCCGCCACGACGCCGCAATATTTCATCCCCCTAGGCGGTTATCGACATTCCAGGCACAATCGTAAGTGGTTGTCATTAGGGTACGCAAATGCCGATATAATAATTTGTTTCGGCCGAGGGGGATACTTCCGGTATCGACGCTGGACCGCCACTTGATTCCCACGGAGAAGTCAGACATCCTGAGGAACCCTCGCCATTCGCCAGATTTTTTTGTATTCGCGAAGGTAATTCGAATAATTATCTCGCCTGGACTTTTCACTCGACATCGTGCCAGGATTTATCACTTCCTTCCGACGCTTCACCACCCCCACGAAGAAACAAACCCTTAACGATCCCCTTGCGCAAGGACGAAAAACCCCGATGATGTATGCTCTTGTTATTTTCTTGCCTTTTCTTGGGGTCCCTCGCGCCCCCTTAACGCGAACTTTCGACCGGAAGACAGATGTTCCGTGGACAAGGGCCTGTTGAATTTTGGAACGACACGGAACCGATGTTCATTTAACTTTGATGAACTTGATATTGATCGGGTGTGACAAGAGCTCGACAATCGAATTTTCAAACTTTTCCAGGAGTATCGACATCGGTGGAAATTTTGTTGTTCGAAAGAATTTTAAAGACCTAGGAACATTACAACGAATCCCCTGCGGATTTAACGATTACTTACACCGTGAAGAATGGTTCTCGAACGATTTCCTCGACCATGAATCTTCTTTAACGATCGACAGGCCAGCACCCATACACGGGGAGCGAAACCTGGATGTATACAAATTCACCGAACGACTTCCGTATTGCTTTCAGTAGCGACGTGTTTGTCTCCCTTAATTAACGCCACGGCGAGAGAAAAGCAGACCGTTCGATTGCTTTACGAATTACAGATAATCCGGCGGAGCGTGGTAATCAATTGTTCACCGCAACAATTTGTTTGCACCCCCTTGATGGTATTTCCAGCCCCTTTCGTAATTTGTTGAAATTATTCGCTACATATTATTAATTACCAAACTCATGCGAAAATATTAACGACGCTGAATATCGCATTAATTAATTGGATGCAATTAATTGTTTTGCTCTATGAGAACAATCATTTTCTCTCGGAATTCGTATCGAAATCATACGGATAAATAGTGAGATGGGTCTATCGAAAAAAAAACAGTTTCCCGTCGGCCAAATTTACCGGAAACGATTAAATTGACATGCCTGGGAAGGACCCGGAGAAACATTTCAGAGTCACACAGACGTCGAAGTTCCCCCCCCCCCCCGTGGAAACTTGCAAGGGAACGAACCCGAATCCCGGAAGACCCGCAAGTCGAGATGATACCTTGATTACTTAGGCGGTGGGAAGTATTGATTTCATCGGGCGACGCGATTCACGGGTTTCCGTCCCATTAAACGGCCGGCCTAATAGTATCTAAGAAGATCCACGAAGAAACTATTTCGTCTCTCTGTCACTCTATTTCTCTTTCACGACTCTTCTTGGAATTGTCCTGGAGTAAATCCCGCGAACATCGTCTGATCCAAAAGTCACTTCGAGTTCCTGACTTGTCGATTCTATCGCGGAGAATACGCAAAAGTTACCGAATGGAAAGCAAAGGCTACAGACGAACTTAGAAATACATTGAAAAACTAGCCTGGAACGTTCATAGAGATCCGTGATCCATTTCAATATCCATTTCATTGCTGCAATAGGTACTTTCCCAAATTGCCTGAATCACATTTCCTGCGATATATTTCTATATAATTTCCGCCGTTTATCCGATTGATTTCATCTTTCACAAACGTACTCTAAATAAGATTCTTTGTCGGTTCACGAAGGCTTTTGCAAATAAATTGGACCGGTTTCGAATGATAAAAGAAAATTTCAAAATTTTTCATGGAAATCAATACTCCTTTCTTTAAATCATCACTATTACCACGATTTTCGTTTTTCGGAAAAACCCTTTCGCAAGCCGAGAATTATGAGCCTGAAAAGTGTAAAAAAATCGAAAGTTATGAATTTGGACCGTTCATATGAACATGCCGAACGTTTGGGCGGTTCCAAAAAAAAACGTTCTAGACTAGTACACTTAAACGCCATATTTGTAACAATTTTTAACTTTTCCCCAACTTTTTATAATTCAAAAAGAATTAATTCAATCGGACTAATAGTTTTCCCTCGTTCACAAACCATTGACCACTTTTTAGTGCCAAGAAAATATGACTCTTTAATCGCTCGATTCGTTGAGCAGTAAAAACTTCACATTCTCTCATCGTCATAACTGAGAATTTTTCTAATATCAGCAGCGTTCAAGCTTCTTTGCGCGAATCCAATGGTTTCCCCCGTTGTTTACGACCACGCGGGATGATAACTTGTAATGTTTATCGTACAATCGCTCGTCGATGCGAGATTCGACGCGCGGAAACGGTTGACCAGGCAATCGCTCGCGCGGGACCGCTTTCTGGTTGATTGGTTCCGCTTTAATCGACGGGACGACGACGGGTTAATCGTGTCACGACGACCGTTTCAGGACTGGTGAAGCTACGAGAGCTCGTCAGGTCGCCGAAGTCTCGGGAGATCGAGGTTAACCTCAGGCAGGCCGACCCGGATTCCTACCGGCAGGTTCTATCCGAGATGAAAAGCAAGGAAATACGGAATCTCATCGTGGACACCAAGCCTGAGCACATGCATCATTTTCTCCGAATGGTAACTGGAATATTCGTCTTTCGATCGATTGCCTCCACTCCGTTTCCAATAACGCTGCACGCGTCTAGGAAATGTAAATATACCCGCGATATTCCCAACTCCAGCCCGTGTTTATTCCTAGGCCGGGCACAGATAGCGTATTAACGTTATTTCACTAACGGCTGAATAATACAACACGCAAGATTTTACTTCGTCTTCTGAATGTTTACAATAATTCTTGAAAATGGACGCTTTCGAAGCCTCTAAACGCAGTGAATTATTAATTCTGCAGGTTTCGCGATCATTTCAAATTTAATGGACACAGAATGTTCTTTTTCATTGTTGCTTGATATTCTTAAATGCTTTTCATTGTAATATTAATGCCTTTCACGTGTACAGTGAGTATATAATTTTAATATTTGCTTCGGTAACAAGCCACCAAAAATGATTCTCGCTATATTCTTCCTATCAATTCCATCTGTTTCCTCGATCAAAGATAAACCTTCTCAACGCAAATATTTACTATCCGCCAAAAGTTCCAATGTCCCAGTTCTTTTTATCCCCAGTAAATCAATATTGCGATTTTTCATTTTCGACGATTAAATAGACACGGGAGGCAGGTCGACTGGAGGGTACAATATAACATAAATATTGCGAATGTGATCCCAACGGTCGAATGATAAATTCGAGTACGTACTCACTTTCAGATCCTGCAGCTGCAAATGAACGACTACAAGTACCACTATCTCTTCACGACTTTCGTAAGTACCGTGCGGCGGACGGGCGACAGCCCTGGACGCGTCTGGAACGCTCGAAAACGCGCTAGAGACCCCGTGTGTCGGCTACTTTTTCCAGGATATCGAGACCTTCGACCTCGAGGACTTCAAGTACAATTTCGTCAATATCACTGCCTTCCGTCTGGTCGACGCCGAGGACGTCGGTGTGCGGGGTATACTGAGGGACATGGAGCGGTACCAGCCATCCGGGAATACGATCCTCAACAAATCGAGAGTTATACAGGTAAGATTTCCGTCCGCCCTACCAGGATCCCTTGCATCCTCCCTCCTAACCCCTTGGGCCGATCAAATATCGTCGTATCAAATGTTTGCGCGAGGCGCGCTTGCACGGATCCACGGAAATTCGGTCGGTGAATCGTGACAAGTTTATTTCTGTTCCAAACGATCGATCGCCCCGCTGAAAGGACGCACAGGATATCCGAGGAAATAGCTATGAGGCTCGGGGTAAATAGATTTATTCACGCAGGAGAATCATTCGACTGTACAGAGACGGTATGTTCCCGGTTAGTACAAGGTAGGGATAGAACTCGTGGTAGAATTGGTTGAAGGATAATTTTACATGATAAAATTTTTCAAACAACGCGGCTGGAAATGTAATTCGCTAGCCACAGCGTGCTTACGACGCGTGAACTTTAACATTTTTCCTCGATTTACTTGCAGATTAGAATCTTACTGGGACTGACTCCTGTCCTCGAGGTTGTCCGAAACCGCTCCTGTAATCAGTTTTGCGGCACACATGCTTGTTATGCGCTGAAAATCGTATTGTACGTCAGGGTCACGAGTCGATCCTCATGCTCGTTTGTCTCTACATGCGAACAACCTGGGTGTTCTTGTCTAGTTGCACCTCGAGTTATCGTAGGGTAGGGTAAAGAACAGGAAGTTGTGGATCTCAAGGTCTTAGGAGTCGAGGAAGAAAAGCAACCGCCCAGAAGAGTCTCGAATCCAGGATATCTGGATTCTTAGACTGGCGAAATACACCTTAACTATAGCTACGGTGCACTACCGCTTCTCCTAGTTTCTTAACTCTCCCGGGTCTGAGCTCCTGATACCGCGATCGAAGTTGAGTACAAGTTTATTCGAATAATCTAGATTGCCCATTTAACAGCACGATGTACAGAGTAGGAAAGGTGGTACAACTGGACGTCATTTTAAGTGGAAAAATAAGTCGAAAATGTAGAACAATAGTTTTTCGTATAATATTTCGTTCGTGAATATAATCGAATTTCAGACTGTTTATTACATTTAGTTTCTACTTATTGTTAGCGTAAGTACATAATGAATATTCCAATTCAATGGTTAGGAAAACGGAGTACCATCGTTGGACTTCTTTAGTTTCCTCGTTTGGGCATAGAATATACAGCACATTGTTACCTACAATTGACTAATTCTAACTGGACTAAAATGTTTTATACCCGTACATGAATAAATAAATAAATTATATAAAAACTTTTGTTCCACATTTTCGACTTATATTTGCATCTAGAATGACCTGTCCGGTTATGAACGAAAATATCTTCAATTGTCCACAATTCGAAATTATATTCTCAAGGGTAATCCTTCACTCTGTCGGGTGTTCTGGCAGGTTCGAAATGAAGAGAAACCCCGAATAAACTTTCTGAAGCTCTTTATTATACTGAATTTTAACATCCACCCTCTACTGATTACTCACAACGTCCGTAGAACAGGGGACCGTGGCCGCCTCAAGTTCTCGGAGTTGAAAATGCAAACGGGCGTCAGAATTTATACACAGACACCTTATTATTCCAGGCGACGCGGTTCGTCAAGATAGCCAGGGTCCCCGTAGAAATGCGTATCATCCACGTTCACCACTCCGACCAAAACATCGCCTTTTTCCGACACGTTCCCTCCGCCGTTATTATACATGCAAACAGGACCGCGAACTCCTCGCGAGGTAGACACGGGTGAAAAATGATAATAACCGCGGACGACTCGATTCGAGCGTGAACTCGTCACGGGGGAGTCATATAGAGACGCGTGTAATGCCCCCTCTTGCCTTGGAATTGAATAAACACGGTATACCTTACGTGGTATATTATGTGAAAGTGTACTCTTCTTATGAGATCCTTTACTGTTAAAAGCACTTCATCTGGGAATATCAAAATTCAAATTTATTTTATTATTTTCCTCCGGTAGACAAGCAGCAAATAATTTTTAGAGGCAATGGAAACTTCTCCAGGAGAGAGTCAGTAAAAGTATGATGGGACGTAGGTATGAACATTAATCTGCCTGAACCCGAAATTTACATAAAAAACGATTTAACTCCCCCGGGAGGACCCGATATATTTCCCCCCTGGGCGAAGTATTAGAATAGTACTTGAGAAATAGATTTTTCAGGCTCAACCCGCGTGAGACCGTTCATGTAAAATATACCGCGTGCGGCGAGACGAGACCGAGAGTCGAAAGTGTGTGTGTCCGTCTCGGAAGAAAATGCAGTTCTGTTCGAAAAGATAGGAAAGCTTTAAGGGGTTAACCCACCCAGACTGTTTGGAAATCATAGGTACATTTGTTAATTTCTTCTAGGAATACAATAAAGTAAACTGGAAATAAGTTGCAAAGCCTGTAATAATATTTTTTAGAAATTCATACGCGTGAAGAGTGCATGAATTTTAATCGAGCGGCGATCTCCGGCGTAATTTGCGGTCTTTTTCCAAATCACCGCCCTCTACGACGCGGAATGCACTATTCCGGCCAGGTTGCCAGGAAACAAAAAAAAATATGGAAAGGAACGTTCGTGCAGAAAAATGAGGGAACACTTTCAACCGAGTCGCGGGGATGAAAGAACTCGGAGAAGATTTATGAGTGCGCAGGGATGTCGGAGGGCTGAGAAAGAGTTTCCTAATTATATCCGCTACAGCCTTTAAACCACCGTGCTCGCGTTTAATGCCGCTCGGACGTACCCGAAGGGAATTTACGTACTGTAAACCGGTAAAAATTATACTAAATCAGTTCCAGCCAACCTCCCTTGACTCGATGTTGCTCGATAAATCAGATTGCGTTTCATTTATTCGTGCGATTATTGAAATTCGTAGTCGAGACTAACTGTACCTGAACTGTGGACGTTTAAGCGGATAAATTTGCGGATATTAGCATCGAGTAGAAATTTGAAATGAATGAATGAAAAATATTGTTTATTTAATGGCGGATGTTCTGAGACGGCCGAGATTACAGACGTTAGAAGAGACCGAAGAAACGACTGCTATTATTAGTTTTACCCAATTAGTGAAATGAGCGCAAGCAGTCGAACGTCACGTGATATCGACTCGTATGGTTTCCTTTCGCTTTTCAGCGGGATTATCCTTGCGCGAAGACACCGACCGAATAAGAAATCGCAGATCGAATCGAACGATTAGAAATCTGAATTGCGTTGTCCAACGAGCAACGACGCTGTGTCGTTTAACGCCGATCGTAGAACGTTTTGTGAACAAGAACATTCACTAGGGTGAGGTTATCGATTCATAAGAAGGTGCTTAATTATAGCTTTGTTCTTATCTGAAATAGCAGGGCCATTCAGTGGCTCATTGTCCTGAATGAAGCCATAAGTTTCGAGGAAAGTTTCCCCTCCCTGTAACAGCTATACGAATAGTTTCAGCTTGCAGAACAGTGGAAAACAAGTCGAGATTAAGATCGAGTTCTCGACTCGACGAATTTGACTCTTGGCGAAACTTATTCTATGTCGGTATTTCGCCTTTTGCTTTCGGTAGTAAAACCCTAAAGACATTACTTGTGATATGTTTTAACTCGAAAATTTTACTCTTAAGTGTCCTACTCTTGAAGTCGCATAAAAATGTCTAGTACATATATACCCCTAAATCAACAATCCATGCAATAAAACACACAGGAATCTACTCTTGTGAGCTTTAGATCTATCAGTATTCCTACCAGTTTATATAACATATTTTTATTGATCGTCAAACCACTGATAAATCTACAAAGTTAACGATTCACGATCAATACACCATTTGAGCACAGTCATCTTTCTGAAACGATAGCCGCTATCTTCCATCCCACTAACATCTCGACAACCTTTCATCCCGAACAAATACAAGAAATTTGTCGGATCTATACAGTGCTCGACGAGAGACGTTCTCTCCGATCGAAATCATCGATCGCCCGGCAAACACGTGGCCAATCGTACGAGCTTTCTCGAGTTTATCGAGACAATTCTTATCGGCGAACAACGGTTGCCGAGCGTCTCTCCGTCATCCCGGACGTTCGCCTCGCTTCCGTGGAGAGTTGTCACGGGGAAATTACCTGGGACAGCTTTTCCCTCGGCACTCCCCAAGGGCAACGCGAGTGCGGCGCCTCCACGAAAAATCCAACGTGTCTGCCCGTGGCTTCTCCGTCGTCCCTGTCTTTCCACGATTGTTCCTTTTGCCCGATGTTAAACGGCCAGGTTAGCTCCGGCAAAGGTCCCGCAAAAACCTTGGACACAATCAACGCCGAGGCGACACGACCAAAGGAAACGGAAGTAAAAGGGAAGAAAACAGCAGCGACTGAGATAAGGCAGTGGTCGCACAAGGTGTCCACGGCTGGCGTTCCTTCCGACGTTTTGTCATTTTTAACAGAAAAACGCTTCCTCTTATTTCATTTAGTATTTATTGGTGGATTTTTGTATTAACGGCACGAGTAATTATCCAGTGAGAGTTACTGCGTGTTTTAGTATGCTTTATGCTTTCACCTGTGGAGGAGGAAAAGCCTATTTTTAGGTTCTAAAGGAGTCGCTCATAAAATAAAAATTCAAGACAAATAATATAAAAGTTCTGACATTCCCAGTGACATTCTCTGAACGCTAGTGTGACCGCAGCCTAAGGGTTGGCACGTTCGGTAAAGGGGAACGGGTAAAGCTGGCTTGGCAACGGAAGTAAGCCGGCTTCGGAATAACCGTGCACCTGTTAGACCGATTTCTCTCGCGACGCGCCTGGAAAATATAGACGTAGGGAAAAACTGGCTCCGGCTGGAAAAATAAACGCGCGTCTCTGGGATGTGCCTGGGCCTCCTCTATCCGCTCTCCCCAACGAGAGAGCTTGTTACACCGCGAACGATACTTGCATACTGATTCGTTTCTTGCACGGCTGCAACGCCCCTTTCATCCCCCGTCTCGCGGTATCTACCGTGGTAATCAAGGGGAACGGAAGACTAGGTTCCTGGCCGATTGGAAGTATCGGACGAACGAATTGAATTCTAAGAAGCGCACCGATACGT